GGGTCCCGCGGGCAGCAGAGGTGACCCAGGGGTTTTTCTGCATGCAAGATGGCTTAGAGCCGGGCAGCAGGAGCCTGGAAAATCCAGAGGCTTTGCCACCTCGCAACGGCAGCCATTTCTTAACACAGAAATCGACTGCGAGGTAAGAAACACAGGCATGAAACATTGAAGCTCACAGAGTGAGGAAGCTGTCAGTGAAATAAAAGCATCCCAGGAAGCTATAAAGAGATAAAATTGTATTCCTTCATCTTTGTGCACTTTATAAAAGAGGAGCAATTGTCTCTCTATTGAGATAACTAACGAAAGAGTGAAGATAAGTGGGAAAAGGTCATAATGAAAGCCAAAGGCAGGTAAAACAGCGTACTTTGATTTTCTATTTGCAGAAAACAAGCCCAAAATGTTTCAGGTGAACTCCATTGTTGTATCATATTATTCTGAAAGAACATTGCTGACATATTGCATAACTAAAATTATTTTTGTTTCAGTCACAACGCAAAACCCAGCAAGCAAATTCCTCTCTCATGCTACCTCATACGGTTGACCCATTTGGTTCTGTAGAATAAAACAAAACACTTTGGAGATTTCTTTCTGTATGAAAATTTAATTAGGTTAAAATCCCGATCATTCTTCTTGGATAAGCTATTAGTCTATCCATCTACCAACCCATAAAAGATGTGTTTACATGGAAGAGATCCTGGATGTGTTACCACTTCCCTGCGCTCCGCCACGGCGCTGACAGTGAAAGACGAGTGCGGAGCTCGGCGCTGCCGGGTCTCTGCAGTGACAGCGCCAAAGCAGCGGCTCGAGCGCCACAAGCCTTCGTCCCCAAGGAACAGCGCTGCTGGCGAAGACGGGGACGCTGCCTGGGGGAGGAGAGCAACGCACAGGGTCAACCCCATCCCGGCTGAAGTGTTTGCACTGCTCTAACCGTTACGAGCTTCCACAGCCGGGGAGCCGCTTGCGGGCTGCTCTGAGTCAGCTGGCTGCGCCCTGAGCAGCTCTGGGACTGGCTGCACGCCAAAACCTTGGGCTTTGCCCCGACCGTCGGGAGCTGCTCTGCGCTGTCACCCCCTCCCCAGCAAAGCCCAGCAGTGACACTTCTCCCTTCTTTCATCCCTCACTCAGATGCACGAACGCAGAGGAGCAGCACTGTTTAAAAAGTAAAACAATATGAGCATTAGTATTTCTACCTGCATCTCACTACAAAATCTGTCATTAACTCTGCAAGATTAATAGGACATCTTACCCAACTACTAGTAGCCAAATGACTATTCAAGGTAAAGTTCAGGTTGCATAGTATAAAAAAATCAGTTGTATAAGTGCCAGTATCTTGCTGATTTTTACTGATTGTCTTTGAAAGAGCCAGTTTTAGAAGGTTAATAACACTTGCATGGGACTTTGCATCACAGGTAGCTTGAATTTCCTACGTCTGAGCACTAAATTTTAGAACAGCAGTAGCTGAAAACACAATTAGGTGCTAAAGTAGATGCAGTAGCTGGTGTAGTTTAATTACTTAAATATTAAAAGGGCACGCTGCTTAGCTTTAATTGGGCTCTGGTTGGAAGAGCACTCTCGAAACCCACTGTTTTTCAGGAATACTGTTCCTTTTTCTTTCTGCAGGAGCCAACACTAAAAAGTAATTGAAGGATAGTATAAAAGACGCCATATGTGTAGGCAATCACACAGAATATGGGAAACACCTGTTTTTACTTCAATTACAGCCTGCAAGCTCGTGGGGCATGTTTATTCTGGGGGCATTACATTTGCCTGTGTAATAGCGTATAGCACATTTTTGGTTTTACTGCGGGCAAACACTGAGAACAGCTAATCGTACCTGAATAAGTGAAAGGCAAACATGCCCTCCCAGCCATACCTGCGCTTAAATAGGGGCCTACTATTAGGAGGAGGCAGTCTCCCCAGATTAAGATTTTTCTTCTGGTCATAGAGGGAGGCAGGGTGGCAAGTTCCTTTCAGGCTTGCTAGTAATGCAGATGGCAGAAGTGATCAAAAAAAGGAAAAAGTTTTAATGAAATCTTTTATCAATTTCATTTGAAAATATAAAATCCCACATTTTTAATTCTACATTTTGAGTAATACTTTTAGTAACGTTTTACTTACAAGAAAGGACCTAATTTTTGTCCTCATTTACAAGTTCTTCAATAAATCTCTTGTGAGGCGCAATAAATTCAAAAATTGTTGTACAAACATTTTAATAACAGTGTAAATACTTCAGCACTGATGAAAACACGGCTGAGAATTCAAAATGACTATTTTCCTCAAATACTTCATTTAAAAGAAGCATTTTTGTTGAATTCTTCTCAGAGGATTAAGCACATGGATTAATTAATAGAAAACAGCTCTCATACAGTGTTTTTCCTCTTCATGTTCTTCTTCAACTTTATCACTGTAGTGATAAAGAGAAAAGATAGCAAAGAGAGAACACAAATAGAAGAAGACCTAGGTAAACAGATCAAGGTGCATTCAGAGAAAAATGGAAGCTATATAAATTTTTTATCTGTTCCCTCTTTCCTTCCTGTTTTTTTTTCAACAAGCTATGAGCTATTTCATACATGATTTGTATCTAAGTAACAAAATGTGACAACAAGAGATGATTTTGGATTAAAAATTCAGAGAAGCTTCTTTGTGAGAAAAGGGTGGTCTCCTGGAAAAAAAAAAAAAAAAGAAACTATGAGAAACAAAATTATAAGCACTTCTTACCAACATCAGTAACTCACCAGTGCTGTACACATGGAGAAGTATCTCGTATTCTGGAAAAAATGCATATTCCTATGGCAAGTGAGGATGGCTGTTAGCAGAGGATGCCAGAGGGTGGGAGCAGCCTCCTGTCACCCACCAAGTCCCTTTTAAGTGCAGCCCCTGGGCACCGACCCCTGCCCAGCCGTGGCAGTGCAGGGTGTCCCACCCCACCAGCCTGCAGGACCCTGTTTGCTTTTCATGGTACCAGCTCCTGGTTTTCAGGCTGTATTTCAGTGCCTAAGGTCACCTTCTCACCTGTGGACACACCTTTCCAGCTCTCTGTCGAACTTACTTATTAAGCTCATCTGTTCCAACAAGGGAAAATATCTCCATGGCCGCCTTTGTTCCAGTTTAAAGTACTTCCGTTTGGATTAAGTCAACAAGGGGGAGAAAATCAAATGCAGCCATTTTAAAACTGAAATAATGTCTGCATTTTGGGTTGTTCAGTACCACTAATGCAGCATCAGAGTGTGGTGTGGCAAAGCTTTACTCTTTCTCAGTGCTGTATTTTAGATACCAACTGCATCATCCCGCCTGCATTACCGAGTGACACTTAGCAAGGCATATTTTGCATTTGGGTGCTTTCAAAGGCTACCTCTCTAGTTTTATCTAAAAAGTCAAGTGTTGATTTATATCAAATGATTAAAATGCAACTTGAAAGGTACATGTGTTTGAGCAACTCCATCACCACTATTAGAAAACAGTTTTTAAACAATTTTGACTTGAGGTTCAGCTATGATGAAGCAATGTCATTTCAAAGGAAATCACTTGCCTACCAAAACTGCTATTTAAACACAGAGCCAACTCTTCTGCACCTAAAAGCTAATAGGAAGTATTTTTTACTGCTGCCACTTTAAACAAAAGGATGCCCCCACCACATACAAGGTACAGGATAATTTAGCTGAAGGAGAACTAGATCCCAGCTCTGGGACCATTTTAATATTAAATACCACTGGGTGATAGCAAAATATCTGAATAACTATTCCCTTTATAATTTATGAAAGAACCTGCTTCAAATGTCACTGCATGATTTAATCCCATCCTGTGTTTGGGGGAAACTGTTAAAGAAGGAGAAGGATACATTTCTTACAAGCAATCTTCCCTAAATCATCTTTCTCTTGCCAAGTAATCACAGAGATTTCTTTCTCCTGCATGCATAACACTCGGCGTGATTTCCCTAGCTCCTCAGTGCCGAGCCCAGGGGAAAGCAGTCTTCCCTTCCCTTTTCTGAAAACAAAAAGGAGCTGGGCTGAGCCCGATGCTGCGGGGTTACACTATCTGCGGAACACACTCAATCGAGTATCATTAGAATGGAAACATGAACAGTTAACAAATTCAAAGCAAATTCCTTTGAAACTTCAAGCCTATGGTTTTGAATGAATGTTTCGGTAGTTCTGCAACGCCTACCCCTTCGGGTGTTAATTATAGTCAGAATAACCTCCTCCAAAAGATAACATTGTGGCACATTTGCATGGAAGGGCACAGATGATAGAAATCCATGTTTTATCTTGAAAATCTAAGTAACATTTAATAAACCCTCTGCTGAGAAAGGGGCCATTACAGACAGTGTGTGTCTGAGCTGCTCTCCGTCTCCCATCTTCTTTGTGCTCTGTTGTTTGCGGTGCATTTGAACAGTCAATATAAACTTTAATTACTGAAATTAAAAGACAAAGCCTTATTCAAACACACGAAGATGCTTCCACTTACTGTCCCACCGATCAAATACTTTAGCTTTGTGTTTTATTGCTTGAATCTTCCAATTTAATAACACTTCTGTCTGAGATTAATATCTGCAATATCTCTATATCAGTTTATCGCAAATAATTTTGCTGGTTTTTTTCTTTGCCAAAAGCAAGAAGATATTTGCACATTTTTTTTCTGTATTTTTATATAACCAGCACAAAATCCTGTTGCTAAGCAGAAGGAAAAATCAATATAGATGGCAAGCCATACCGACTCATCTTAGAATTGCTGTAGACTTTGCACTTTCTTGTAACCTCTTTTCTTTTAAAGGTTTCCTTCTGCATAAATGTGGCATGACTTTGCTAAGTTACAGTATTTGCATTTCACCTGCTTTGCCAGAATATATCACATAAAAAGTCATGCTCTTTGGCTGAGAGGCACCATTTTGAAGAAACTACTAAGGAAGCCTTTGCTACTAAATAATCACTTCTAAAAGCAGTAAGTGAAATGGGCTAAATTTTAATTAGAGATTCCTTCCCCTAATCTAATAATCTCTTATTTTTCCGGGCAAACCATTATACTGAATCTTTCACTGGCAGCTAGAAATTTTGTATAGTTATAAAAATAATTCACATTTCCTGTTGCAAGAACAGCTTGAAAGTTTACCGTCTGCAGAAAGGAAAAGAAGAATTATTTCCCGTGCATTTTATGCAGCGAGAAGGATTTGGTGGTGGCATTTGCTGGTGCGGGGCTGTAGGGCCCTGGATGCCATTGAGAGCTGCCGTCCCACGCTTGGCGGCGGTGCTCCCAAATGCGCCAGTGTCACCAGGACAGCGGCTAGGGGCTTGATGCGCATTTCATGGAGCTGGCGCTGCGAGGAGCGGGCACATTTGGCGGGGGACAGCCAGGCACATGCAGCCTGTTTGCAGAAACCATGCTGAGAAACAGCAGCCCAAGGACCTTCCCTCGAGGCACGCTCAGCCGCTCGCCCGCCCCAAACGCCTGGCCAAAAGCCACAGCAGCCGGGCCCCCGAGCCTCATCTCTGCAAAAAACAGCAGCTTCACCTCTTTATACTGGAAATTCCTCTTGGTGCTCATGAAAAAGAAAAATAGAAGATAAAAATATTCCTTTTTACTCAGCATCCTTGCTACTCAGGACAGAAATAAGCGTCTCGTGATTGGGCAGATATAGCACAGCTTTTGATGGATTAAAAGGATGATTAATTCATATGCTTTATAACCAAGAGTTATTTTGGAGAGAGCATGAGCAATAGATGCCTGGAAATTCCCAATTAGATTCAAGAGCTTGTTGGAGTGAGTAACGCACACCCACTGGAGCAGCTGCTTGTTTGCACTGTTGCAGTGCGTGGATCACCTACCCAGCTGGCTTCAGAGACAGCGGCGGGTGGTAAGAGATGCCGCTGGGTTCAACGTGACCATGTAATTCTTTTTGTTATGA